TTAATATGTAAAGCTTGTAAGTATCGATACTGTGTTTATACAAGTGGTTATTTATAAAGTGGTAATATTATAATCACTTTATAAATATTGATTACTTATGTACTATTGAAGTGATGTAATCAATTGAAAAATAAGGAATGATATAAAAAATGAAAAAAAATATTTAATTCTCAAGAGTAGAATGACATTTTAGTAAGGTTATTCGTTTTGTTTTATTAAATAGTCTGTAAAATTAAAATTAATTCTACTGAATTTAACAAAAATTAGGAAATTAGACTGAATCCTATTTTATACAAACATAATGTAAATTTCAATAATACATAATCGAATAATTTATTTCACTAGCTAACTACAAGATACAAGATTACTAGTATTTTATGTAATAGTAGTATAGTAGTGTAACATGGTATTTAAATATTTTCATTAATTTAAATAATTGTTTATCTTAAACAGTATTGTTTACTAATGGATAAGTGTTTTTTTAATATTATTCAATTTATTTGAAAAATCAAACGCATTTAATATTTTTGTTTTGGTTAGTTTTATTAAACATACATTTTGTGGGGTTTTTGAAATAAAAATCAATTATTGTATTTAGTGTATGTAAGTATAAATATATTTAAAAATAAAACGATCAAAAATTTATTAAGCGTACGAAAAACACAACTTTAAAAATATCTTTTGTAGAAATACTAGTTAAATTTATATTTACTAGAACATTGGTTCTACTATAGTTTTATTATACCATTTAACAATTTTAGAAAAAATACTAAGTATTAAATCAGAAACGGTACCGATTTGCTCAATAAATAGCATGAAAATGATTTTTTTTGATTTTTATCTTCGTTACTACTGAAGAATTGTACACGACGAAACAATGCAAAAAATGATGATCAATTTTGTGCGACTATGACCCAAATGAAATTATTTCCACCATTTTTCACTTTCTAGTTTCTTCTATTCTATACCTGTCAATTCTTTTGCGTCTATTACTTATGCGTGTACACGTATTAAAGTTACTGTAGCTACATGTACTGAATTTAATCTTATTTGGTCCAATTTATCTAAATAATAATTATTATAGCTTTCTTGAAACCTATTATTTCAGATTAATAACTTTTAAAATATCATATAAAATTAAATATTGAGCTACTAATTTTACATTTTAGAATAAAAATTGATATTGGTGATCAGATTTAAATAAGTATGGCCATGAAAAATGAATGTTTAGAGTTATAAAGGCATGAAGAATTTTTGTAAATAATAAAAAAACTTAGGAGCATTTTTTTAAAAATTCAAACTTCTTAATTTTTTATTTATTGTAGTTTTAGTTATAAAATAAATAGAAATTTATAAGATTTAACATTTCCTATAATA